TATTGTCTGAAATGTAGATTCATATTTTATAATCATGTAGGTGAGGGAGGCAGTCTTCTTATAGTTTATCTAAACTACGGAGCTTTTCATACTTGAGATTGTTTAACCAAGGCTCATTGTTAACCATGGGTTATTTTGTTGTATTTAACACCGTTCATACTTTATCCATGCTTAGTCCACAATCCTGGGTAGTCATGTTTGTGAAAAAAAGGTGTTTAGTGGCATTGAATGTGCACTTGTACTGTACATAAAGTACATAAAGAAAGTAGACTTTTAAGATTGATACACTGAAATACACTTTGACTAACTTGTGCAGTACTTGATTTTTTAACTGTAGTGCGTTATTTGATATTACACTTTGTTAATATATTTTGAAACTGCAGCTTTATCTTTAATAATGTGTTATTTAAATGATATGTAAATACATGTTGTATACATTTCAGTAGAAAAATTACATTAAAGTATATTTTAGTTTACCATAAAAGCTTGTCTGTTAAAGGGTACTTCTGTTTCACAAGTGCAAGTTTCAGGATTTCATGCTGTATATTTACAAACCTATGTTAATGTTCTTATTCTGTCATGTAGATACGCTCTAACTGTCTAGTTTTGAAACAGTTAATCGAAATAATACTCATTGTCTTAATAACTCCATGTCTACATCACATGTAACAGTTTAGTCTAAATAAGTTTAGTTTTTAGTTTAGATAGGTAGATTGGTGGATTGATAGGTTTAGATTGGTAGTGAGTGTCCATTCAGTGTTTTACCTATGCTTCTACGGTACAAAGTAAGTTAATGTGTTATGCAAAAACATATGCATTTTCATAACGGGTCAAAAATCGAGCCGTACCTGAGTACCAATTAACTCTAGTTTCCAGATGGTTGCACAGCTGTGAACAGTGTTACACAGCATGCGAAGATGATACGGATAAAGCATCAGAGTGAAGGCATTATATAAAAGGCTGATTAGGCCTGATAGATCACTGTACTGAATGGGTTTCTCCCTCCGTCCATTTAATCTCAGCGTGTGCGGTATCGATGTACCGTGTCTGTAGCCTGGCTGAATGCAGGCCGGAGGGTTTTAAATGAACATCAGTGCTGTGCTTTAAGACAAATGGCCGCTGATGAAATGTTAAATATTCAGAATTACACTTACCGCCATGTCGGAATCAACCCACTGCTCTACAACAGCCATTAAACACCGGCACGCCCCAGATCTATGCTGCCAATCTATATTACATAAGTCTGTGCTTCACTAAACAAGAGCATGCAGTGACAAGCTGCAAAATGATACAGGCATTACTCTCTGGCATATTAAAGACCCACAGTGCCAAGTCATGTTATGTAACTTCACAAATACACACTGAACATGCTGAGACTAGCCTACAACATACTAAGATGTACAAGTACACAGATAGAGACAGAAGATCAAATAACTCATCTTTTCATTTCACCACCCTGCACAGTGGGGATGTCAGTGAAGTAATGGACACTTTTCACATTTCGGGTGTTCTCATATGCGGACCTCAAACTTTTGATCGGTCGTGTGTTTGTGTATAAAGATGTAAAAAAAGTGTTTCCAAATGTCCCCTCAAAAACGACCATAGAACTCATGGGTTGCAGAGATGTGCAATCTTTATGGATATGACCTGGATCTCTGGCCAACATAAAATAATGATGCATATGTCCCATCCCATGAATCATTTTACTCTGTTTCTAAACGATTAAAGGTGCCCTATAATGTGAAATTGAATTTATGTTGGCATGGTTAAATAACAAGAGTTCAGTACATGGACATGACATACAGTGAGTGTCAAACATCATTGTTTTCTCATTCTTACTTAAATCTCGTTTTTGAAAAACACCCCTGAAAAACAGGCGAATCTCCACATAATACCGACTCTGACGCAAAAGTCGGGATCATTAAAGGGTTAGTTCACCCAAAAATGAAAATTCTGTCAGTATTTACTCACCCTCATGTTGTTTCAACCCCGTAAGACCTTCGCTCATCTTCGGAACACAAATTAAGATATTTAAGATATTAAGATCGCTCCTGCATACAGTCCATAGGCTTCTTGAGGTACTGGCTCTTGCTGTCCCCGAAAAGTCATTAAAGACATCGTTAAAATAGTCCAAGTGACTACAGGGCCTCAATCTTAAGTTTATCAAACGACGAGAACACTTTTGTGCGCAAAAAAACAACAAAAATAACGACTTTATTTCAACTATTCACTTCCTTCTCCATGAGCCTGTAAGTCAGTTAACGTAGTGTGATTGCGTAGAGCTACGTCACACGTAGGCTCACTATTGGCCGACGCTGGTCATGTGTGTGTGATGCGTGTGACGTACAATAACAGAAGCTTACGCTATTAAACTAGTAACCTGACTCGCGCAGAGGGAGAAATAAACGAATAGTTGAAATAAAGTCGTTATTTTTGTTGTTTTTTTGCGCACAAAAGTGTTCTCGTCGTTTGATAAACTTAAGATTGAGCCCCTGTAGTCACTTGGACTATTTTAACGATGTCTTTAATGACTTTTCGAGGACAAGAGCCAGTCCCTCAAGAAGCCTATGGACTGTATGCAGGAGCGATCTTAATATCTTAAATATCTTAATTTGTGTTCCGAAGATGAACGAAGGTCTTACGGGGTTGGAACAACATGAGGGTGAGTAAATACTGACAGAATTTTTTTATATGCCAGCCCATGTTCAGTGACAGATGAGACGGAGCTGCGCAGCCGAAGCATGGCCGTTGATCAGTGTTTGGATGTACACATGAACACAAAAGTATTTTTAGTTCCTTCATCCGAGCCTCTGAAGAAACAATGGGTTAATTTTATTTTCTCTGGATATTTCCAAACATTTCACCGACGACTGTTTCCTCAACTTCCCAAGAGCTGGCCTCGGACCGAGCTGATGTGTTATTGTTGTTCAAGTTCAAGTTAACGTTAATCTTTCACTCAAAATCGTTCAATACTGTTTATGCATCAGTAAGTCAAGCCAGGGACTTCACATTGTTTCTTTTAGTAGGATGAAAAAATAATAATAAATGTAAATAAATTGTATACAGAAAGCGATCAATATCTTTCCACACAGCGCCAGTTTATCTGGACATTTGCCAAACTCCTTATGAATTCAATGACGCACGTTACAATGCACAACAAAGCTCTTGCTGTATTTACATGATCCTGTCTGCATTAGTGATAGCAGAGAAGGCAAAAATTGCGTTGCAATGATAAGATCTTCCTCCTCGCAATCGACAGGCTGTCTGTCCTCTGCCTGCTCAATACTCAACACAGCAACATTTTATGTGATGGGAATAGATCTAAATACTTCAAAAACATCTCACGATTCGTTAATCTCGATAGCTGTAATAGAAAAAAAAACTATAATAGCTGGAGTAAAATTATTCGAAACAGTTTCACATGTAATACTTGGCTATTTTATATGCAAGCATGTCAGCCAATCACAGCAGAGGCCGGTTACACACAGCAGACACGCCCCTTCAAACAGAGTGTTCAGATCAGAGGCTAAAATCAGGCTAGGAAAAATGCCTTTTATTTCTAAATTATGACTATTTTTGATCTAAAAAACATACTAACATTATAAGGGCAACCCAGGAAACATTATAAAATAATTAAAAAAAAAACATTTTAGGGCACCTTTAAGTTTGGAGAGCTGGTTGTCTTCAGCCCACAATATCTGTTTGCTGTTTCTGATACATGAGTCACAAAAAATAACATGGGATCTGATGATTTCTCTGTATCGATATAATGGTCTAGGAATGCGCACAAATTCTGTAAAAAAAAAAGTACACAATCTCAATCAAATAATGAGGCTTTTTAACAATTAACAGGTTACACATCCCGACTATTGTGCCAAATACTTCTATAAACTCAACACATCACTATAACTTTACATATTAATGCATTTAAATTGCAACCTTTTCATAGTAAGTTCAAATATAAATATAGTTTAAATATAAATATATTTTGTGCATTATAAATTGTATGCAATATAAAAAAAATCAAGTTATATATACGTTTTTATATTGTCCAACAAAAAATGTCAGGCGGGGTAATGTCACCCCTGCTTTTAACATCTACGTGTTCTGTGTGTGTTACACAGGTTTCTCCATCCATTAATCCATGCATCCATCCATCCATCTATCCATCCATTCATCCTCATGGATATTCGTTTATTATTGAAATTGGGTCGTCTATCTCCCCATCCCAGGTGTCAGTCAGCAGGATGGATGTTGCCATTGACTAATACCTGCATGCACACACACACTCACTCACTCACTCACTCACTCACTTTCACACAGCTTATATTAGCCTCTGTTGAGACTGATACACCCCATTATGAGCATCATGAGATGACCACCTGTAGCCCACACACGTGTATACCTACTTACATGCCCACAATACACCTGCCTCCCTAAAGACCAATAACGTTGTTTAGCTTTTTTTTATTAGATATTTTAGATAATGTACTTCCTTTAGTTGGCTGTTTGGCTTCTTTTCAATTTTTTTTTTTTTTTTTTTTTTTTTTGCATTGCTGGTTTAAATCTAAATGGGTTTGGGAGCTTTTATAGACAGATATGAGCATGTTTTTTAAATTGAGTCTGTGCATTTTTCATGACTATGTATGTGCATTAGAAGTGTCTGTGCGTTTGTTTTTCTTTTAGTGGATTTGTATTTATAGTGACTTTTAGACTTGCATCTCGCTGGTGGCATTGCAACATTGCGCTATATAAAATGGTTGCTATTTATAGATCAATGATGCATACGGGTGCCCACTGGCTCAGAGAATGTGGTACTATTACCCACACGGACACTCGCACATGTACACAATACATGCATACTGTACATACACAGATTGTGTGTTATGCCGCATCCAGCCTCCCTGAAGAGAGGTGTTTGCATTAGGCCACATCTACTCTTAACAGCAAATTGAATCCATCTTTCCATCTAACAGTATTTATTTTCTTTCCTCCCTCAGGAGACTGAGATCAGCAGGAAAAGAAAGGAGTGTGAAGTCCTTGAGGAGGAGGTGAAGAAAAAGAGCCAGTCATGTCAAACTCTGGTGAGAGCCTTAACAAGTTCACGTCTGATGAGAGGGTCTCGCATGCTGGGTGTCATATCAAGACTCTTCTGAGATATTTACTGTTAGTCTTCCAACATACGGCTCTTTTTGTAGTTGTGATTCATAAGGGGCCGTAATAGGGTTGCACTATTTTAGAGGCCTACAGGTACCCACAACGTATGTACTCTCTGCTCATCATTTTCACTGAGAATTGGACATTTTCTGTTGGTGATATGTTGAATTTTGATGCTTAAATTAGAAGTATCATGCTTCTGGTTGCAGGTTTCTTGTTAGGTCCAATATACAGTTGCAGGAAAAAGTGTGGAATCATTTTTTAAATTTCTGAACACTTAATGCAGCATTTCTAAATGGCCTCGAAAAGTGTTTTTGAATTATGAGAGCTGTATTATTACGTGCTACATGGTCTTTTATTACAAAAAAAGCAAGGATTTTTATATATATAATATATATATATATATATATTTTTTTTTTTTAATATACCTCATCATCACTCTTAAACATCCTATTTAAGGTGAAGTTGTGTTATTTATGCTCCAGTAGCTTTTTTAGTTGTTTATGTATGTATTTACTTACAAAATATTTGAATGGTAAAAATAACCTATATAATATAATTTATAAATATATAATAACATAATAACCAGACCAAA